TATATATATATGATTATATTATTTTTTATTAAATATTTCTTTTATTTTTTATTTTTTGAAAATCAAGTATTTCTTATTTTGGGGTACCGACGGTTGCTATTGTGAAGAGTATTAAGTTGATCTAATATGTTGATAAATTTGCACAACATATCAGCATAGAATAAATGTTCGCATACATATTATAGAAATATATAAACAAAACTCTTTTAAATAAATCCTAGGTATACTTTCATTCATATGTATGTGTTATATTAGGTTTGGTTATGACAAGTGTCTTCTATATTATTTGCCTTGTATGATGTTCAATGCTTGAAACTCAAAATCAGCCTGCCATCTGCTATTGCTTAGCAATGAAACTCTACCTATAACTATGTATGATATTCAGTTGAAACCAAATTTTTCCAGTTGGTCACAACAGAAGAATAGAGCGTGGAATAGAAAAACAAAGAGAGAGAAAAAAGAAGAGAAGAGGAGTGCGCTAATGAACACTGAAATGAGGGAATTAGGTAAGCTTTTATTTTTAAAGCAGTCCCCTATCAATAGCCATAGAGGACGCTTATATAGACGCCTCTACTTTAGTAGAGACTGTACATGATATTTTTAGTATTTCACCCTGATAGGGCTTAGGAACTTATTGGGTCTTTGGCCCAATAAGTAAAGACCCTATAAGTCTGGCGAATGGGGCGAAGCAACTAACCATATCAGTCGACTCTTAGAGTAAGGTTCGTCGGTCAGCTGAAAATTAGGGTGTCGACGGTCGGGTGGTCCTTCGAAGGCGAGCAACTATTGTTGATCCGACTGTCAAAAATTTGTCTGGTGAAAATCAGTGTCGCCAGCTGACTTAGGTCTTGAGGTGTCCTTGACTGCTTGAGCTGCCCGACCTTTGATTGTTGACTGGCTATTAGGACTTCATTCCTACTGCTTTCCCAATGGGTCCTATCTAGCCACATCATTTCGTTTGAGACCATTGGATTCCTTTGGGATTCATGACGACATATTTTCCATATACAAATTCAAAGCTATCTTTGCTCAAACCTAACAATTAAATTGATGTACCGGTTGCAGTTTTGATAAAATGCCATGTTTAAATCCTAATTAAATTATCATCATATGTTTGTAATTAAATGACTAAATAAAAAAAATAAACAAACTTAAAATATAAGAATTTGTAAATTATAACTTCTAACCCAATAACTTTTCATACTTGCCAATATTTAAGCACATTTTATTGTTATTAAGTAAAATTAGATAATATATAATAATTTATGCAACTAGGTAAATAAGGTTTTGTAAGATTGTGTCAATATAATTTGTTTATGACTATAAATTTAAATTAATCACTTTAATATAGAATGTTTAAAAATGAAAATTATAATAGATATTTTTTCGTATGTTCTATTTTCATTAAATAGTTATTTTTATTTTTTTAGTATATAGATATATATATTTACATCATTTAAATAATATCTAAACAATTTTAGCCTTTGGTCATGTTAGGGGTGGTTGGAGGCTTTGTTTTAATATTAATTTCTTTAAGGCCAACTGTGTGAGGAGATTCAAACCCTCGATCTAACGGGTCTTATACTGTGGATGCCAACGAACAAATCAAGTGCGTTTTAATGTTTAGTTATGCATATATTTTAATATTAAAATTTCTAATATTATAAGATTTATTTTCCACAAAATTAGCCTTCGTTTTCTTTATTTTTTGCTTTAAAAAAAAGTGATGTACATCTTAGTCTATACGACAAAAGAAAATAAAAGCTAATCATTAAATTAAGTTATATTCTTTATCACTAATTATTTTTAAAAATAATAATGTATGAGCTATTATAAGGGAGTAAAATAGGAGGCCCAAATTAGGCAGGTGACGAGGGTGATAGAGGCATATTCTCTTTTTAATGCAAAATGCTTTGTC